GTTATTGCTACATGAATTAACGTATATCACCACTGATCTTACTGACTGTTTGTTTAATGTGCAAAAACAAAATGTGAACACATTCTAAATCACCTGGTTTCAATTTGGCAATGTGATAAATCGTGTGACGTCACCTATATTCGTGAGTCTGTTCCACAAAACTACTTCTTGTAGCATAATGGCTTAAATCTGCCTTGTATGGCTACAAAATTACATCTAGTCCATCTAAATGTATTGTATATTACTACAGGGCATGACACGAAGTAAAATAACTTCTGACACTGGTGGAGTGCAATTTCCCCACGTTCCACGGACCGTATCCTCGTGCGAGAGATTACTTCCGGTATGATGTCACTATGTTGACAGTTTTATTGGTTGTAGTTTTTCTGATACGAGAGAGTGATAGCCGGTTCGAGCCGAGATATGTGAGTTGACATTCAAGAATTTTATATTTATTGTCCCCCGCCGCGCGAAAGCGCGAAGCGGGGGATATAGTATTCACGACCGTCCGTCCGTACGTCCCACCTGTTTGTTGCCGCGATATCTCAAGAATTAAACACTGGATTGTCTTCATATTTGGAACTATGGTGTATATACAAATTCCGCAGACACCAGTCGGTTTTGGTGACCTTGACCCCATTTTCAAGGTCACAGCAGGCAAATCTGCTTTTGGAGTTGGAAAACGGTGTTGCCACGATATCTCAAGAACTAAACACTGGATTGTCTTCATATTTGGAACTATGGTGTATATACAGACTCTGCAGACACCAGTCAGTTTTGGTGATCTTGACCCCATTTTCAAGGTCACAGCAGGCAAATCTGCTTTTGGAGTTGGAAAACGGTGTTGCCGCGATATCTCAAGAACTAAACACTGGATTGTCTTCATATTTGGAACTATGGTGTATATACAGACACCGCAGACACCAGTCGGTTTTGGTGACCTTGACCCCATTTTCAAGGTCACATCAGGCAAATCTGCTTTTGGAGTTGGAAAACGGTGTTGCCGCGATATCTCAAGAACTAATCGCTGGATTGTCTTCATATTTGGAACTATGGTGTATATACAGACACCACATACACCAGTCGGTTTTGGTGACCTTGACCCCATTTTCAAGGTCCCAGCAGGCAAATCTGTTTTTGGAGTTGGAAAACGGTGTTGCCGCAATATCTCAAGAACTAATCGCTGGATTGTCTTCATATATGGTACTATGGTGTATATACAGGTGGGGGACATTTCGTCACTTTGTGACAAATACTTCTTGTACATTTTCCTAACTGAATGAAATACTGAAAAGAATAATTATATTCTTGTAATGTAATAAATGTTATTGTGCAATTCTTAATTGTGAAATCATTCTTGAAAAGTTAAATAATTAAAACTGTGTGGTTGGTGGTATTGGGAGTGATCCACAATTCGCTACCCAAAGCTGTACCCCAATACCCACCCCCTGAACCGTTAGTTTTATGGTGGCAGCGGTGGGATCCGTTGTGGATCTCATATATAAATAAAGTAAGAATAATATTTCACAAATATTCCAAATTGATAAGATTCCAAAAGATAATGTTTTGTGACCAATAATTATAAAATGGAACATAATTCATCGATCACTTCCCTGTCAAGGAGAGTGGATCACGTTAATGGTCCGGCTGGAAATTTACGCTCTCGCCAAGTGTCCAAGATTTCGGAGCTAAGTTCTCGTGAAAATACTGGTACTTGGTTTCCAGATGTTGACTTAGTTCAACCATCCAGACATGAACTGTCTGAGCAACCCAATGCTGTGAGTCCAGAAAATTCACCTGCTGTTAGTTCAGTAGGTAGAGTTCAAAATGATCTGCAGGTAACGAGACGACCAGAATATTCTGACCCTAGGGAGACTACAGGCCATCCAGGTCACACAGTGAAGATTGTTTGCCAAATGTTCCTAGTGTGTACCCTGAGAATCAGTTTTCACAGATTAGTCATAATTACCCATACACTGGTCAGACCGGGTACCCAGTACTTGCTCCACCACCAATGGTGAGTTCAGACCAAAATCTAATTGGTCTTGTGTCACAATTGTCTAGTAGTATGCTGGGTCTTGCACAAAGGATTGACACTCTTGACAGATACCCCCCAAGGGGAGATCATTCGATTTGAAGAATATCTCTCCAGTTGCCTAAATTTAATGGCCAAGGAAATTATCGTGCTTTCGAAGCACAGTTTAAGAATCTGGCTGCACAGTCATGCTGGGATAGTACCCAGGCAGCTCAACTGTTGGGATGTGCTCTGGAAGGTGTAGCCCAGCAGTTTTATGCAGGCAGTTTTATGCAGGCCTTCCTGAGCAGGAGCGACTCGATTACCAGTGGCTTTCACACACTCTGCGCAGGCGGCATGGAACCAGTCTTCCAGATGTTAAACGTGAAGAGCTGATGAGGCGAAGCCGTAAGTCTGCTGAGAAAATTGCCGACTTACGAGATAATCTCTGGCATCTTGCTCAAGGTGTATACCCTGATCTTCCTTATGAACTTCAGGAGAGGTTGGCTCTGGATGCACTGAAGAGGGCTGTGGATCAAGACTTGAGACTCCGGTTCATGGACCGAGGTGTACGTACCTTACAGGAGGCGGTGGATGTAGCTGAGCTGTACGAGTCAATTGTAGGCAAACCTGGTCAACAGAGGTCCTTACCCTTCACAAGGAAGGAGAGTTCATTTTGACTCTGAGTTGGAGGAGAAATCTGTCAACCAGAGACTTACTACTCTGACCAGTCAGCTGGCTGATCTTCAAAAGACAGTAGAGAAACTTGCATCAATGCAGGTACAGCCATCTCGCTCACGAAGTCGCATTGGTAGAGGAAGAGCTGTTGAGAACAATAAGAGCAAAACATTTCAGAACAATGAGGGGCGACCTCAATCCTCTCAAAATAGGAGAGAGCATTCCAATGGGCGTAGTGCTTCTAGGAGAGGAAACACTGCCTGTTTCACATGAGGTGAGAACAGTCATTCGGCTTCAGAGTGCCCTCAGAATTCCAAGACAAATAGTTGTCAGAGAAACGGTACCCCACCGACCCTGACTTAGGTCGGGCTTCGGTGGAGAGTTCTGAAATAGAAACCCCAAATCCTGAGGAAGTGAGATCTAATAATAAAGCAAGTGGTCAGATGGAGGGAGAGATTTGTCTGGTTTCTGGTCAAGGGGAGATAACCCATGATTCCTCCCTTAATCCATCTGACCCAGTCTAGGTGAAGGCAAATTTCCAGGCTTGTTTTAAAGTTGGAGATAAGGGCCAATTAGTGAATGTCAAGATTGTCAATATTTACTTCACTTTGCTTGTTGACACAGGTAGTCAGGTGACCTTACTTTCCCCAGCCGCAAGCAAGCGCTTGCCGTCTTCAGTAGCTGTCAACTCAATTGACATGGTTCTGGAGGCTGTTAATGGGAGCTTATTCCAAGCACATGGAATATTCAAAGCACATGTTTACATTAGTGATGACATGAACCCCACTGTGGAGGAATTCCTGGTGGCAGAGGTTGATAATTCCCATGATTGTGATGGCATTCTGGGTATAGATGTACTGGATAGACTGGAGGGTCTGATCGACATCCCTGATCCAGGATCCGGTTGATGGGCAGGTGGTTACCAACTGTGAGGGCTGAAACCACTGTCATCGTTGCAGATGATGTCTCTTTCCCGCCCCAGTCTGTATCTTTTATCCAATTTAGCTTGCCTCAACTTCATTGGGAACGGTCCTCAATCCTGATAGAACCTTGCAGGGAGATTTTATTATAGAAATGGGTGTCGTCCGGCCGTCCTTCCGTCCGTCTGGCCGGCCGTCACATTTCGTTTCCGGAGCAGATCTTGAAAACCGTACCCTATTTCTTCACCAAACTTGGCACATAGATAGATCTAGTGGTGAACTGGTGCCTTTTGATAGTTTAGGATTTAATTTTTTTTTTTTTTTTGAGTTTCCATGGCAACGACTTTGATTTTGACTGAAAATGGCGGTAGTCCTCGTTTCTGGAGCAGATCTTGAAAACCATACACTATTTCTTCACCAAACTTGGCACAAAGATAGATCTAGTGGTGAACTGGTGCCTTTTGATAGTTTGGGATTTTTAAAAAAGTTATTTTTCCAGTTTCCATGGCAACGACTTTGATTTGGACTGAAAATCGCGGTAGTCCTCGTTTCCGGAGCAGATCTTGAAAACCGTACCATATTTCTTCACCAAACTTGGCACATAGATAGATCTAGTGGTAAACTGGTGCCTTTTGAAAGTTTGGGATTTAAAATTATTTTTTTTTTCGAATTTCCATGGCAACAACTTTGATTTAGAATGAAAATGGCGGTAGTCCTCGTTTCCGGAGCAAATCCTGAAAACCGTACCATTTTTCTTCACCATATTTTGCACATTGATAGGTCTAGTGGTTAACTGGTGCCTTTTGATAGTTTATGATTTTTAAATACAATTTTTTTTGAGTTTCCATGGCAACGACTTTGATTTGGACTGAAAATGGCGGTAGTCCTCGTTTCCGGAGGAGATCTTGAAAACCGTACCATATTTCTTCATCAAACTTGGCACATTGATAGGTCTAGTGGTGAACTGGTGCCTTTTGATAGTTTGGGAATTTTTAAAAACAATTTTTTTCGAGTTTCCATGGCAACGACTTTGATTTGGACTGAAAATGGCGGTAGTCCTCGTTTCCGGAGCAGATCTTGAAAACCATACCATTTTTCTTCACCATATTTTGCACATTGATAGGTCTAGTGGTGAACTGGTGCCTTTTGATATTTTGGGCTTTTTAAAAAAAATAATTTTTTTCAAGGTTTCCATTGCAACGACTTTGATTTAGACTGAAAATGGCGGTAGTCCTCGTTTCCAGAGAAGATCTTGAAAAACGTAGTATATTTCTTTACAAAAAGGCCCAGTGAACAAAGTTCACCGGAGCTTATGCATTGTACACACCCGACATGTCATATTGGCGGGGGATGTGAGTATTTCATGCTTGTTCACACATGGTATAATCATGGGCAATTCAGTAGTCACAAATGGTAATAAGGCAGCTACAGTTAAGGTTATCAATGTTCTTGATACCAAATACACTTTAGCTAAGGGAAGAATTATTGGTCAGTGTCAGAGTGTCAATGTATTACCAGATAGGCAAATAAAGAAAGTATCACAAGTTAGTGTTAAAAACTCGAAGGTGCCTGATCATTTAACAGATTTATTTGATCGCAGTAAAACAAACCTCAGCTCTGAGCAGCAGGATGAGCTGAGAGATCTCCTGTACTCATACAGAGATACATTCGCAAAAGATGATGATGATCTTGGTGGAACTAACGTTGTTAAACACCGCATCAATACTGGTAATGCGAGACCTATCAAACAGGCTCCATGTCGTCAGACGCTTGCGAAGCAAGAGGCGGAGGAGAAAGAAGTGGCTCGAATATTAGAGCAAGGTGTAATCAGTCTCTCGAATAGTCCTTGGGCTTCCCCGACAGTTCTTGTCCAACGCAAAAGATTCCTACCCCCTACCTCGCATTGCAGACTGAATTGACAGTCTGGGTGGTGCCAAAATGTTCTGCACAATGGATTTGCAAGCAGGTTACTGGCAGGTAGAAATGGATCCTCGTGATCGGGAGAAAACAGCCTGTCACACGTTACGGACTGTTTGAGTGGAATGCCATGCCCTTCGGCCTATGTAACGCCCCAAGTGTGTTCGAGAGACTTATGGAAATGGTGCTTAGAGGTCTCCAGTGGAATGAGTGTCTGTGTTTCCTGGATGATATCATTGTCTTCGGAACTACTTTCGAAGAAACAATGTTCTGGCTTCAATCAGTTTTCAACCGTCTGATCTCAGCTGGCCTGAAATTAAAGCCTAAAAAATGTCACCTTTTTAAAGAGAGAGTGGATTTCTTAGTCCATGTTATTTCGGCTGATGGTGTTCACACCAAGCCAGAGAAAATAGAGGCAGTAAGATGTTGGCCTACCCCAAAGTCTCGAAAGGAAATACTACAGTTTTTGGGTCTGGCTAACTACTATCGGAAATTCATAAAAGATTTCTCTAAAATTGCCAGGCCACTGACCAAACTTACCAGTCCATTGGTTGATTTTCTTTGGACTGAGGAGACTGATCTAGTTTTCATCATCCTGAAGGAAGCACTTACCTCAGCACCAGTTCTCGGATTTTCAATGCTTGAAGGCGAGATAACTGTTGACACAGATGCATCCGGTGAAGGTATAGGTGCAGTTCTGTCACAAAATCAAGATGGCAGAGAAGTCGTTCTTGGCTACTACAGCAAAAGTCTCACACCGGCAGAAAAGAATTACTGTGTCACCCGTCGAGAATTGCTGGCAGTAGTAACTGCATGTCACCATTGCCATCCATATGTCTTTGGTAGGCCTGTTACTATCAGAACTGACAACTCTGCAGTGGTCTGGGCAAAAAGAATTAAGAGGCCTGTCAACCAGATGGCTCGCTGGCTACAAGAGCTAGGCAACTATGATTTGACCGAGGTACACCGACCAGGCCGCAGACCTCAGGCACCCTGTCCCCAATGTAAAAGGGAGAGTGGACCTTGCAGCATAGGGTTGGTAGAGTCGAATCTTAGTTGTTATGCCATCACCAGATCACAAACTGCCAAACAGGATGAAGATACCTCCTGTTCCAGCTCAAACCAATTGGGTAGAGTTGAGGGAAAATTCCTTCAGTCCTGAGGAGATTCACGACATGCAGCTTCAAAATCCCGATATCAGCCTAATATTCAAGGCTAGAAATCAAAATACCCGACACTGTTTCAGGATATTCTGAGGCATGCAAAGCGCTGTGGGGTCAGTTTCATCGACTGTCGATAAGGCAGGGTGTCTTACACAGAAGATGGGAGAGTCAGGGTGGAAAGGATTGGCATTGGCAGATAGTTGTACCAACCGTCGAGTGGTGAATTATCCTCAAAGCATGACTCACCTTTGGGAGGCCATCTTGGGGTGGCAAAGAAGATTGTCGAGGAGTGGGTCTGTCGCTATGGTACCCCAGCTCTTATACATAGTGATCAAGGTAGACAGTATGAGGCTAACCTGTTCCAGGAACTATGTAAATTGCTGGGAGTTGTTAAAACTAGGACAAATTCTCTCCAACCACAGGCAAATGGCCAGGTTGAGCGGTTTAACCGAACACTGGCAGCCATGCTTAGCATTTATACTGAAGGGAGACCAAGGTCCTGGGACTAACGTCTCCCCTTCGTAATGGCTGCTTATAGAAGCTCAAAGCATGAGTCAACAGGTTATACACCAAACAGGTTGGTGCTCGGTAGGCAAGTGCAAATGCCTTACCACCTGGTCACAGGAAATCCTAACGAGAATCCTGTGACGAGAGATGACTATGTCGACGAGGTCAAACAACATTTTGAACATACTTTTGGGTCTGCTCGGAGAAATCTCAGACATTCTTCCGAAGTGCATAAGAAACGATATGACCTGCGGAGCAAGGAATCACGACTTAAGGTCTGACAGCCAGTATGGTTGTTTAACCCCCACAAAGGCTCAAAACTGAGCTACAAATTCATTTCAAAGTGGTGTAAAGGTTGGGTTGTCACTAAGCAAATTGATGACATCACACATCGTATTCAAAATGGTCCAAATAGATCCTCCAGGGTTGTTCATGTTGACCGGTTGTTACCGTACGAGGGTAATGACCCACCCACATGGTGGACTCCTGAGTATAAAGATTGAGTGAATACCTCCCAGTGAGCCATCCTGAAACATTCAGACATGAGAATTAGTTTGTGTAAAATAAAACAAAACAAATGCAGTTACAATAGCCTATGTCAAGGTGTAAACATTGATGAGATATGGTATGTTCTGTTGATTGCTTCTTATTGATTTATTTATCCTGGATGCTATCTGGATTTAAAATTTGGGCGTGTTTGACGCTTTCCAGTAGATATTCCAGAGAATGACCATTTAGAACGCATGAGACATAATGTCTTATTTTACCTAATGGTAGATGTTGGATCAACCGTTAGTATTAACGAGACTTATATGACATGTTATTGTTGTAATAACATAGGAAACGGATATCTCTGATTTACACCTATGCCAATTATATTGAAATGTAAACATTCATAATTAACTTAATATATTCAAACTTATAAATTCTCCCAGGGCTACCAATGTTCAAGAGAAGGATATCCTTGACCTTGGTGACGAGGATATGAGTTTTGATCAAGATGCTCCGTCTCAGTCGCCAACATCCCTGGAAGTTGTTACTTTCAGGAGTGGAATGGAGTGCCCGGCATGCCCTGACAAAGAGATGTTTGTAAATGTACAGGCTTTCGACAGGCACTGGTTGATGCGCCATACTCAGCACCTGACTACATTCTTCTGCCCTGTAAGGGAGTGCCGATCAATTTATATCAGGTTCGCTGACCTGACCAGTCACTATGGTGTGGTGCACGCCGGACGTAAAGGGAATCCGGCCAACCCAATGCAGGTCTGCAGAAGAGCTCGGACGAAGGTGATGGTGAATCGATGCTTTGTTGACCCAGGCAATCGTCTTTCCAACTAACTCAGCAAAGAAGAGCGCAACGAAGAACATAACTGGGAAGAAGATACGATCACAGGTTACCCAGGTACCTGCAACCGTGAAACCTGGAGACCATATACCCAAAGCTGAGTATAAGTTCAGCACTGGAGAGGCAGTTCCGGCCAGAGAGCCGAGATCCAACCAGATAGCGGACCAGTCCACGCAGTGGGAGGTGGCCTATGTCAGGGCCCAATTGGATATTCAGATGCTCAGGCAGGAAGTCGAGCATCTGCTACGACGTCTGGCCAAAGCAACGCCCTCATGGCCTACTGCAGCTGACATCCCCCGCGGTCACGACCAGCTCTGGACATCTTCATCAATTCTGGCAGGGAGGCCCTGTCAGTTCTTCACATGGCCGAAGACCAGAGGTTCATGGAACAGCTGAACCTGCGACATCAAGCAGATGCGTATATCCTGAGCCTGCAGAAGTGAGACAGTGTATCTGTTGAACTCTGGGATTGTCTCTCAGACTGTGTATTTTAGACTTTTGGATTCTACTGTATTGTAATTCATGGATGTTCTTGTGGAAATGTAAGTGAATAACTAAGTATACTGGTGTGTAACAGGTATATACTAAAATTTATGTTTCACTATGTCCAATAGGAAAGGTATTAGACCAATATTCCGTGATATTATATTGCTGTGTAATATCAATTGTATTAGACATATATCCACTATCATTAGATTGTTGTTTAACTCGCGGTCGAGTTACATTTAAAAACGGGGAATATTGTAATGTACAAGCCTTTTGTATATTTCAGTCAGTAGACAGTGAGATGAATCATATTGTACATGTTGTATGTGATACAGCATACTACCTTAAAGATATAGGTTATTGCTACATGAATACGTATATCACCACTGATCTTACTGACTGTTTGTTTAATGTGCAAAAACAAAATGTGAACACGTTCTAAATCACCTGGTTTCGATTTGGCAACATGATAAATCGTGTGACGTCACCTATATTCGTGAGTCTGTTCCACAAAACTACTTCTTGAAGCATAATGGCTTAAATCTGCCTTGTATGGCTACAAAATTACATCTAGTCCATGTAAATGCATTGTATATTACTACATAGCCGTGACACGAAGTAAAATCACTTCTGTCACTGGTGGAGTGCAATTTCTCCACGTTCCACCGACTGTATCCTCGTGCGAGAGATTACTTCCGGTATGACGTCACTTTGTTGACAGTTTTATCGGTTGTAGTTTTTCTGATACGAGAGAGTGATAGCCGGTTCGAGCCGAGATATGTGAGTTGACATTCAAGTATTTTATATTTATTGTACATTTTCCTAACTGAATGAAATACTGAAAAGAATAATTATATTCTTGTAATGTAATAAATGTTATTGTGCAATTCTTAATTGTGAAATCATTCTTGAAAAGTTAAATAATTAAAACTGTGTGGTTGGTGGTATTGGGAGTGATCCACAATTCGCTACCCAAAGCTGTACCCCAATACCCACCCCCTGAACCGTTACAGTCACGTTACCTGCTTCATGGATCAAGGACCTGTCCATCGCGTCCAGACATTCAATGGACATTGGTGCTTATATCAACTGGTTTGTCGCCGGAATCAGGCACATCATTCCACTGTTGCAGACTTCATACGAAGGCATATCCGGAGAGACTTGTATGAATATTAGGACAGATCAATTCAGACTCATTCTCAGCCTGCTAGACACTAGGGCTGTTACGATTCACTCGCGTACTCAGTGAATCGAACCGTATCCATTCATGAATTGAATTTGTTATTCGTGGCCACTAGAATCGAATATTTATGAATATGCAAGCATATGCATTTACATAAAACAATACCCATAAGAACATATTTTATGCTTTGATTTTTTCAAAAGACAACACTCTTATACTATTTAATTTGACAGTATTGTGATCACTGGTCATTGTTGCATTTGAGCATATACTAGTACCTGTTTAAGTGCAGTATATAAATCAATAATATATCAATAA